CATGGGCTTTTGCACTCAGTGCATGGCTGCAAACAAGTTCCCTCAATAACAAATTTGTCTAAGTCTTGAGTTGCCTTCCCCAAAAAGGCCAATCAGAGCCATGGCTTCTGAAGGAATCTGCTGGGCCAATTACATTTAAAGCAGAAGGTTATGGCAACTATTTTATGGGATCCCAAGGCAAGGATTTTATCTGTGACTCAAATACTTGATTTTGTTGGAGGGATACAGGACAATCACAGGGATTAATGATGAAGAAGGTTTCAGAACATTGGAGACTGCTGCTGTGAGGAAAAGGCCAGGCAAGTTGTGCTGAGGACTTTCCCCACCCCAGCAGTGCACCTGCTGATTTTTCTCCTACCCATCCAACGTCCCTGATCTTTCCTTCCAAACTCCCTTTCGTTCCCCAACTCAAATTGAAGAGGAACAAAACTGGAGTCCCTCAAGAGTGCCAAACTGCTGCGCAGGGTTAGAACGATGCAGACACTGCCTTCCGAAGTATGTGGCTCTCGCTGGAGCACATACAAGTTGGGGTCAAGAAATAGTGCTACATTTGGGTATTTTTGTTTACTAAAGACTGCTGTGGTTTTGTAGTCATATTTTGTGACTTACCCTTGTCATGGATAACCACCATCTTTATAAAGTGTCAAAACTTTTTCATTACCCCAAAAGAAAACCACTCAGCTATTAAGCATTCACTTTCCATTTTTCTGCCACCAGTCTCAGGAAACTACCAATATGTTTTCTGGATCTGTGGAGTTAGCTGTTCTGGGTATTTCATATGTAACATGTAACCATCAGTGTGTGACTTCTTTCACATAGCATAATGTTTCCGAGGTACCTTCAAGTTGTGTTTGTATGCTTTATTCTTTTTTATCGCTGAATACCATTCCATTTTGTGCATATACTACAATTTTTTTTATTCATATATCTGCTCATTTTCTTCTCTTCTATTGGAGATTGGGAATAATTGTGCTGTGAACATTTATGTACAAGGGTTTGAACATCTGTTTTCAATTCTTTTGAGTGTTTAACTAAGTCTAATATTTCTGGGTCGTGTAGTCATTCTGTTTAACCTTTTGAGAAATTGCTAAACTGTTTTTTACATTGGCAGTACCATTTTACATTCCCACCAACAGTACATATAGTTTACAATGTCTCCACTTGCTGGCTAGCACTTGTTTTTTAAAATTTTTCCCATAACAGCTATCCTAGTGAATGTCAAGTGGTATCATTGTGGTTTTGATTTACCTTTCCTTGATGACAAATGACTTTGATTATCTGTTGTGCATATTGACCGTTTGTTTATCTTCCTGTGTTTATCAAGTCCTATGCCCATTTTAAAATTGGGGTTTTGCCTTTTTATGTTGAGTTGTAGGAGTTCTTTTTTTCCCCTTTTCCCTCTCCAACAAATGTGTTTTTTTAATATAACGGAGGGTTTTTATTGTTAAAAAAGAGAAACACAATTCGACAAGCTTCATTTTGTTGGCAGAGCTGAGCAGGAAATCGACACAATTCCTCTAAGAGTTCTTTATATATTTTTGTACTTAAACCTTTTGTAGTTATGTGGTTTTCTAATGTCTTCTCCCACTCTATTGATTGTTTCTTTACTTTGTTGATAAAAGCCCTTTGATGCACAAAATTTTAAAATTTTGGTCTAGTTTATATTTTTTTCTTCTGTTCGTGGTTTTGGTGTCATATAGACAAGCATTGCCAAATTCAAGGTCATAAACTTGTTTCTGTGTTTTCTTCTAAGTATTGTGGGTTTAATACTTATATTAATCATTTATCTATTTTTGAATGAAATTTTGCACATGATGTGAGCTAGGGATTCAACTTCATGTGGAAATCCGGCTGTCCAGCACTATTTGTTGGAGAGATGGTTCTTTCTCCAGAAAATGGGACTTGACACCCTTATAAAAAACCA